TACCTCGTCTAAAACTCGCATGTAAATTTATTATAACTTGCATTGATAGGACCCCGACGGGTCTTTAATAATAAATTATCTATCTATCTATCTACTCGCCATCTGCCAGTAATTTGGCTGCATCTCCCTTGTCCCCCGCCTTGAGTTAACCGAAACTGACAGTGACCGAATTCGTATGGTTGTCGAAAGGACTTTGACGTGAATGGCCTCATACGGCATATTCGTTGTGCCTCGATGTGGTCCTTTTTGAACCTTTTACCCAGTACCGCATACAGGCCAGTCCTGTCTGACCTGCATATTTAAGCCCTTCACGAAATCCTTTGTACGCTGCCACGTGCAGGCCGGCCCTGCTGGCTTTTTATCCTTTCACTAGCGGAGTTTTTTTCTCCTATAATGTTAATCCACTCATATTCATTTTGTTCGCTTGATAGGAGTTTTTGCACTGGTCGCTCATATATTATTTATTCGATAACTATGAATTAAATATTGTATAGATTCTGTCGGCCTGTTCTAAAATTCATGTAAAACTTTATTCTTACATGATGTAACTAGATCCCCACGGGTCTTGGATATAAATCATTCACGTATTTATTTATCTCCTTGGGATTGGTTGAGCCAGTTTTAATTTGTCCTTAGCGATTTTGTATGCGGCATCCAGGTCTATACGCCTGCTGATGCATGCCTCATCTGAGTGCCTTGCCCAAGGAATTCACGTCGCACGTAAACTGGCAATTACCTAACGCCCACAACTTTTGCTCCCTAAGGACAGGGTTGGCTGCCTTGAAAGAAAAATCCCATGTGCCAGTAGCAATACCGTCTATTGTGACCAAACTGGGAAACGCCTCAACCCCTTTATATAAACACCAGCTGACGATGAGAAGATGCGACCATCTATCCCAGCTAGCCATGTATTCATTAGGCACTGGGCATGGGAGATACTCGGATTGGTGGCGCCTGCCTAATAAAGAGAGACCGCGAAGTCCTGGAGGCAATGCAGCTAGATGAGGCATGCATCCCCCGGCATATCGATCTGGATGCTGCATACAAAATCGTTAAGGACAAACTGACTCAACCGGTCAAGAGGAGATGACAGATTACAATTCCCACGCATAGGCACAGACTTTAGCCAATTACGGAGTCCTTTGCCAGACTCAGTTAAGGAGTAAATTTTTTTTGCACATCCATAGTCCGTAAACGAGTTGCGAAACCAGACTCGAAATTTAACTGCTTCAAAAAACTCCATCTTTTAGTACTGAATTACATAGACCACTCTCTAGTTAAAACACTCAATTTTCCCTTGGTGCTTATGCGCTAACCTTCACGAATGTTCATAAAAAACTGCAAAAGCAACTTAATGCTTATAGCGCCACAAAGGCGTAATGTCCAGATTTCGAATAAACAGTCTTTCTTGGAAATATGCCCCATCACAGCGTGCCAGTAAAAGAAAAAGACGCTTTCAGTAACATAACATGCGATTTCAGTAGGCCACAGAGGTGCCCCACATTGTGCAGTGGTGAATAAAAATGCATTCTCATTTGTCGTCCCAGGCAAGGCCTGCATTAATTAACTGCCAAACATTCACTCTCCTGTTGAACTTTTGGTATCGTGGGAATGGGATACCGTCACACCCAGACCCCTCCTAATGATGGGGAATGTCGCGGTAACGACGAATAGGATAATGAAAACGAAAGATGAGGTGTGTAACTTGCAATCAGCTACAGGTGAGGTTATCTGGGGGGTTGCTGTAGCTGTCGACTGCCAAGTTTGAAAGAATCCTTCTTGATTTTCGGTGGAGATGGATGATTCGATGTAGGTTTGTGCGTAACAAACGGCTAAATAATACCTGCACTTCGCCTTTAAAGACGAGGTGGCATCGGCAAAAGATGGCAAGCATTTTCTCTCTGATTCACCTGTAATGGTATATGGTATCACTGAGAAAAAGCATTTGCTTGCATGTGGCGACCGATTTTGATGTTTGATCAAAGTACTTGTCATTTTTGATTAATTCGATAATTTGGCCTTCGGCGAATTGCATTTCCACACTTTCGCATTTGTAATTTTTTCTGCTTAATAGATTCCCACTTGATTTTGCTTTATGTGTTCCTAAGCAAATCACTGCTGCTCAAATGTTGGCGTCGCTAGTTAGCCAGGTTTATTTGCTGTTCTTGGGCCCCATTCGTGCTATCGCGTACTTGAATTGCGTGTCCAACATGAGGTCACTATTCGGTTGGTCTTTTCTTACATTTTTATCCTTGACAATATCGTTATTAGTATAATTATTATTGTTATTATTATTATTAGTATCACCGTTATCGTTGTTATAGGATAAGGTCTGGGTCAAGGGTCCGGGTTAGAAGGCAAGGAAATAGGCATGCTCCGCAAACTCCGACTTTTATCCTTTATTTCAACCGTGGACTCCCTAGTCTATTGTTCACAGACGAGAATTTGACCGTCATATTCTTATTTGAAGACTAAATATTCCACAATTTTTTTCAGGCCCAAGTTGTGACCAGAATATGGAAATGTTTAACGGGGCTGAACCAATAGGCCTGTCATATGACAGAACTATATAGTTCTGCCGAACGTTCAACGGCTAACTAGGGCAAATTAATCGTGCAAATTATTATAGGGTAGTAAGGACCCGGCAGGATCTTTGCAATTCCTGACTGCCCTGAGGACGACTATCTAATTAAACAATCTTCAAGGTTGGCCGCCCATTCTAATTTTTTTAATTGGCGTCCTTTCGACATTTGCTTTGCACATCAAGGTTGGACCGCTGCTTGAAATATTCGTAATTGGCCGCGGCTAAGACTTCCAAAATGGAGTCATCTGATTGCACAAACGGGGGTTCTACGGACGCGTTTACCAGTAGAGTAAGAAGTTGTTTCCGTGTTTTTGGTATTTCCCTTTAGCGCTCTGATCCAATGTTTAAAACAAAGCGCACCCTTCTCCATGAAAGAAAACAGGAAGTCATACCTGACATTAATAAATCAATCTCGATAAAAGACGGCGCGGAAAGGCTGGTTAGGTAATCTACATGTTCTCTCGGCTGATTTCTCTAGGGTGTCCCGCCATAAACGAGATAAGGCTAGGGCTGCCGTGGAAGCTGATACGGAATACTCGAAGTTGAAGATTCTCAAGGATCAAATGGACACACTGAACTCTGAGTTTTCTGTTTATCAAACTATAGGGTGAGTAAATCTCGACTACATTTATCTGCAGGAACTTTAAAGTTCCTGCATATTAATTAATGTGCTTGTATTTCATCTCTTTTCCCAGCCCTACAGTTGTTAGCATCATGCAAGGCTAGTTTTGCATGTGAGCTTCCGAAATCTCTGAAAGTTGCCCAGGCGATTTGTTTACCTCCCCACAATAGCTTGAAATGAAGAAAGTTGTAACACCCTGTGGAAGCTTCCACAGTCTAGGCAGGGGCTCCTGCATCGGCATGACACATTGAGCACGTTAAACATAAGAGGAGATATAAAACAAAAAGCACAGTTTTTGTTTTTTTTGCAGAAGACAACTATGTTTTGAAATTCCTTGGTTACCCACACCTATTATTTAACTGTTTCGTTCCAATTTTGTCTTTTAGTCCTGCTGGCAGTGCTAGCACTACAAGCTGTGTAACAGAACACAGTTCGCTTCCATAAAAAAACAACCTAAGTGTTGACAGGCATTTACCGGTTGCATTCGCGCAATTTCTCCCTAAAGTTTTTGCACCTTACATTATTTGGAGAGTGAACACCTGGCGTATTCTACTTTAATTATTTTTTTCATGACAATCTGTAAGATAATTCATTTTTTAAATGATCTTAGTCTTAGGCTCCGAAAGACAACGTTTAGGAGTGCCAACGTTTTTTATGCATATTTTCTCCCTTGGTAATCGCCAGCCCCGTCAGCAAAAGGGCAGCCATAACATAATAGCCTCAGTGACAGCCCACCACGCGCCTATTGGTTTGCAGACGACATGATAATCATACTTACAATCAACAGCATCAGTGAAGCAGAAAAGGAGCAAAAAAGCGAAGTGAAGCGCTTTTTCTCCCCAACAGACAGTAAAAGAGTAAAGGCTAATTTCCAAGGAACCAAAACATTCAATAACTCATTTTTTTCTATACTTCATATTATGAACCTCGGTTCGCTCTACCTACAAGGGGCCCACATAACATTTTCTGCTGTTTGCAACGGAAAAAATAGCACCCCTGTTCAAAACTCGATGGTGACCTTTCGAATTGTTTCTGCGACTTCAGCAAATAGTTTGCGCAATACGACTCGGACGGTAGTGGTTGATTGACATAACAAGGAGACGGCCTCGACTGCAAGCCTGCTTCCCAACGGTGTAGACGCAGACTCTGCAAATAGGTTTATGGACATTTTGGCAACAGTGCCACCTTAATAAATAGACTTTACTGTTTAATTCAGCCTTTAATTGATTATTACCTAACATGACGTTTACTGATCGCGGCAATGATGTTGCGCGAAGAATCCGCTTTAAATTAATTTAGCTAAATCGCAGTTGGTAGCCAGGAATGGGAAGCGGATGGCGAATTTAACGCTAATCCTAACCCTAACCTCAACTGTAAACGTTAACCGCTAACCATAACGGCAACTTTAACCTTAACCAAAATCGTAAACGTAACCGTAACCCTTGGACATAGTCGTAACTGGAAACCCTAACCGAAATACCGAAACCTAATCGTGCGCACAAACCCTAACCGTAAACCGAAAACCTAAGTCTAAAGGCATAACTCTAACTCGAAAATCGGAAACCATTAAGTGGTACCCTAATCCTAATCTTAACCGTAAAACGGAATCGAAATGGGCCAGTTGTGATTATGGAACCCCACAAAATAGCCCTAGTAAACAAACCCCCGAGCCACCTGTAATACGGGGCCTGGCTACCAACTGCGATCTAGTCATTACTTTAAAATAATATGCTCTGTAATGTCGTTGGCCTACACGCTTTGTCCCTAACCAAAGTAGATATATTTCTTGTAAATTCCACTTAAATCATCTTGCCACTAGGTAGATGCTCCACTCTGTTATTATGCGGTCGTCTATTATGCACCTAAATACTGTGGATTCGACCCCTTTGATGCCTTATGCTAGTTTTAACGAATTACGCAAAGGACTTATCGGATAGAATTTGGCCTTAGGCAAGTGTATCTTCTAGGTTCTTGGCTGTTCTAAGCATTTCGTATGTACATTCGGAAAATGGAGTCATAATTTCAGATAAGCTATTTCTGTCACTGGGAAGTTCGATGACATACGCGATAGATCTCTGATCTCCGACTGCATCCCGAGAAATTCCACAAATGTTGGTCAGATTCAACTCATTGCCTGACGTTAAGTCCGCGTACGAGTCGTTCATGAGCATCATTGGACAACGAACAAATCTTGTGAAACATGCCATCCACTTCATTCTTGATGTGAAGGGGATTCGTGAATCTGGAATGGGTCAATTCATTGCCTTAAAATAGCTAAAGTCATTCAAGAAGGCGTAGACGAATAAATTAGTAAAGACAATAAAATTTTGCCAGCAATCTTTCGTAGTAATCCATGGTGGCCACAGTAGGAGCGTTGCACATGAACTTTTAATATCCACCATCTGATATCGGCTAGGGGATGCAAGATCTTGCGCTCGTCGTCATTACTCCTGTGGGAGCCAGAAGTCTGGATCTTTTTGTCAATGGTAAATTTTATGCACAATGTCGCGCAATTAGGTCAGTGGAACAAGAATTACTTCTAAGGGGCTTCCTCGTCATATCCAACGCATTAGATCGTTAATTACCTCTCTGAGCCCTCGAACGCGACGTGTGTCACATAATAAGCAGTTTTACTTCTATGTGACCCCAGCTGTAAGTAAGCCAGTTGGGCAGACGTTGACGTACCTAAGATCAAAGAGTCATGCCTCTCTCTATAGCAACCTTGGGCGAAATAAACCGTCAGATTGGGGTAAGCGCCGTCATTTAGACTTTCAATCCGAAATCCGCACCGGACCTACGCTCTCTTAATGCATTTACCTGTGACAGATTTGTTGTTCTCAGCAGTCTGGATACAATTTCCCCAATGTTTTTGAATGCCGCTGGCTACTAAAGCCTTTTTTATACACAACAGGGGAGCGTAACAAGTTAGGTTTTTGACGGCCATCGGAGTGAACAGTGATAGATGGGATAACACTGCCGACAAAGACAACGGAGACGGCACTGGTCATTTCTGGCTTATTAGCTGTCGTCAGCCAGTCATACCCAACCCCGAAGTGTGTAACGCCTGGGACTCGATCTCGCGACTTGTTGGTTAGAAGTTCAACGCTTCCAACCATTGAGCCACGGGTTCATTATCCTGTCGATTGCGATCGGGATTATACCATGGCAGAGGGGCGCCTACCGATCGTGTTACAGAACTCACTCGTCCCGTTGTGCCTTAGAGATCCAGGTGTCCCACACTTCGTGGTTGGGTATGACTGGCTGACGACGGCTTATAAGCGAAAAATTATCATTCCAATCGCCTTTGTTTTTGTCGAGATTGTTATTCTGCCTATATTACGCGCTGCTGTGCGGCTGCTAGTTGGGCTTGAGAAAAAGTCCCAAGACACAACGGGACGAACGAGTTACGTAACACGATCGGTGAGCGCCCCTCTACTAGCGATAGATGGATTTGGTTTGGTTTTTTCGCCTCTGGTTCTCGACCCCCTGCAGTCTCGATAGAGATCTACTTAACTAAAGGCTTATTGAATATTTGATTCCCTCCAAACATCATCTTTCTTGACGGTTTGGTCGCCAGAAATGGCAAAAAAAATGAAATCTGGACCTCAGAAATGAGGGATCGCGTGTGTGACTCGTTTACGATGCGAAAATTGTAATGTTTAGCTTCTATGTTCGTATTACTTCACTCTCTGGCGAGTTCGTGAGTCCAAAACTTTATTCGTCACCCCATGAGAAAATCAAATAATAATTCAGTTTGTTGGGAAGAACTTGCTTGTAGGCAATCAATATTCAACAAACATGGATCAACAATTGCGTTTGGGAGAGGGGGGAGAGAAGACGCGCAATGCTTGGGTATCTTATGGATTGCGGAAATTTTCGCCGGCAAACTTTGCAGCACCACCAAGTTCCTCCTCAATACGCAGCATTTGATTGTACTTCGCCAACCGTTCCGATCGACAGGGAGCACCGGTTTTGATCTGTCCCGTTCGAAGCCCAATTACGAGGTCAGCGATGGTGCAGTCCTCCGTCTCTCCGGATCTGTGCGACACCATCACGCCCCAGCCAGCCTTTCTGGCCATATTACAAGCCTGAATGGCCTCAGAGATGGATCCTATCTGGTTTATCTTCAGTAGGAGACAATTGCAAGCTTTTCGGTCAATAGCCTGTTGCACACGCTTCGGATTTGTCACAGTTAGGTCGTCTCCAACAATCTGGATTTGTGTATTTGACGTGTACTTGGTCCAGGAGTCCCAATCGTCCTGGTCGAAGGGATCCTCAATGCTGACTATAGGATACTTGGAGATCATCTCATCGTAGATGCCTGCTAACTTTTCGGATTGTATCCACTTATCTTTAGGCGAGTTGGGATTCTTGAAGTCGAGGTCGTAGAGTCCTTCCTTAAAGAACTCTGAAGCCGCCACGTCCATGCCAATTTTTACCTTTCCAGTATATCCCGCCAACTGAATAGCCTCTTTCAGCAGCTCTAGGCCCTCAAAGTTGTCCTGAATGTTCGGTGCGAACCCACCTTCGTCCCCGACGTTACAGGCATCAAGACCGTACTTCTTCTTAATGACGGTTCGAAGGTTGTGGTACGTTTCCGACCCCATCTTCATGGCCTCGGTAAAGGTACTTGCCCCTACGGGAAGTATCATGAATTCTTGCATGGCGAGTTTGTTGCCCGCATGGCTTCCACCGTTTAGAACATTGAAGGCTGGAACAGGCAGGATGATGTCCTTATTTCCTGCTAGATCAGCGAAGTGGCGATACAAGGGGACACCCTTTTCGGCGGCTCCTGCCTTTGCGACAGCGATTGATACACCAAGAATTGCATTTGCCCCCAATTTGCTCTTGTTTTCTGTGCCATCGAGTTCCTTAACCATGAAGTCATCAATTTCCTGTTGTTGGCTGGGTTTAAAACCCTTCTGAAGCAGGGCCGGCGCAATAATTTTGTTCACATTACCCACGGCTTTCAAAACTCCCTTGCCCATGTAATCGCCCTTGACATCATCTCGAAGTTCCAAGGCCTCGTGGATTCCAGTCGAGGCTCCGCTGGGTACTCCTGCACGAAAGAGACCCTTGTCTGTAATTAGATCAACCTCCACCGTGGGGTTCCCTCGGCTGTCGAAGATTTGGCGAGCTTTGATGGCGTTGATTGTCATCGGCAAGCGTCTGCTGTCTTGCGTCAGTCAGTTATGCGTCTAATGTGTCAAGACGTTACGAGCTCTCGCAAACCGACTTCCAAGTTGGAAAATCGATACAAAAATCGATAATGCCTAATTTGACGGCCTCCGCAGTCATTTTGCCGCGGCAAATGAACACACCAAGCCCGAAATCTCACAATGGGAACGAGCAACGGCGTTAAACAAAGTAATTCGCGGCAGGTCATTAGGCAAACTTTAAAACAGCTGAATTTACAGGCCGACCTGGGCTCATAGTCCTGTAGCATGCCTTTAGTCTTATTATTTTCTCAAAAAATTCGACCCATCTTTAGTCAAAAACTGTCAGGCACTTATTGAAAAACAACTCTCAACATTTGGCTGATCCTTTCTGCGTGGACTAATTCACCCACGAAAATCGAAAAAGCCGTCTGAGTAAGGTGCATAATGGGGTCTTTGAAGAAACAATAAGTCAAGCATTTTGCTGAAAAGCGTATGCTGGGGCTTCTGTACATCGCAGCATCTTTTCGTTTTATCATGCGGAGTCTTCCTGCCCGTCGCTGTGTCCTCAGTCTGGGAGAAGTTATTCAGATTTTGACAGTAGTTCACTAAGAACAAGCAAATGTACAAGCCAGGTTGTCTTAGTGAACCTCCGTTTCAATGCAAATGTACATTGAATCCGTCGTACGCCAAGCACACCATAACACCGACCACCAAAACACCGCATAAATCATTCAAGTCGCAAGCGCAGTCAACTGCTACAGTCAGTTGCTACGGGCGAAAATACCATTTGACGCTCTAAGGATTTACACTCCCTTGGACTTGGCTGGATATCGGTAGAATAGTTTCAACCCCGTCCATCCTAACTATAGAGTCTTGAGTTAGTGTGCGGTCAACCACTGCTCCTGTGTAGCCTTCTTTCCCTTGTGGTTTCAAGTGACCAAGATTCTTCGCTTCCGCCTCCGCTAGTGTCTGTGGTTGTCAGTAGACGGTCGGCTTGAATCCACGGCTATTTTGTGAAAGCCTAATGTGGGTCTTACGCACTTTGGTTGAAAAGTGTTCATTTTACTTCCGTGCGGGACTACAACCACTTAATCTTGCATTCCTGGCCGTAGATCGGTCCCCTATATACCGTACTCTGATGCATCGGTTCTTCATGTGATTTTTAACGAGATAATTTAGGGGTAGCTGTTTTTTTCTTGTGCAAATGGAAATGTTAATATAGTCAAAGCAATCGCGAACTGCAATAAAAGTAGGTAAGGACAAAATTAAGGGGACCAATCAAATTCACGTGGACGCTTCTATGTCTGTCTTCATGTACGCTCCGCAAGTCCACTCTCATCCCTGTGCTTGATATGGTCAGTTCAAATCTCAAATGAAAAATACAGCCAAACGTTATGCTTTCCAACACGAACTTACCAGAATAACCCAGGAAAGGACCAAAACAGACAGGCTTCTTTTGTGACTATCGTTACACGGGCGGAGCGTCTGAAGTGCAGCGTGCTTCCTTTAAAATCATTAAATTACTGACGGTTTCTATATAAGTACACTGTGTGTAGAAATAATTCTCTGACTAAAGTTGATAAATTACTTGAATGACATTATTTTTTTGGGGGACTCTTATCCAAAAGCCTCGATCACCACCACCGCCATAATTAAAACTTAGCTCCGTGGCATCCATTGCCAGTTAAAGGTGAAAATATATTCATGACGCCTTTCTTTTTGCAGTCCTTATCTCCCCATGATACCCATCGGTCTGAAGGCGACCCATCCTGTCGACTTCAGCACGCCATTTTCTCAGTTTGTTGAATCCCACTACCACCAGGACGCAGCTAACTTCGAGGAGGCCTTTCGTCAGCTGAACTCCAGTCGAGAGGTGAGAATAGCACCCTCAACTCACTCCCGGTGTCGTCTTTTTAAAACTTCACCATTTCGCCGCATTACGCACGCGCTTGTTTCACGTGACGATGAGTTGCCCGCACAAATACGAGTACTGCCACCTGCCTGCATGCCTGCGTGGCCTTCTCATTGTTGTGTACGTATCATGCGTATAATTCATCGCCAGAGCAGCTGTCTTTATCACCCTTTTACTGTTGTTGTTAAGGCAGCCTGGAGAGTTTCCGCCAACTCTTGCGTCAGCAAATTTCCGATGCACGTTCACGGCTGTACCTCCCACGTTCTCACTCTTTTGCTAGGCAGACTGACTATCTCGCCCCTCATCCTCACTGCCAATGTGACCACCGGGTTGCTGACATTTAGACGCACGGATTCTACTTGGCTAGGTCTTCAGGTGGGATCAGAACTTGGTAGTTTGCTTAAAACGACAGTAACCACCACTATCTAGGAGGAGCCATGGTAGTCTCTCTGTCTTCTCGTATTGTATTCCGAAAGCATGACCGGATCAAGAGAATTGAAGAAACATTTGAGCAAAATGGCCATTTTGGCTGACTTCTACGTACTAAACGAACCGGGCTTTGTAATTTTACCTCATTTACTTTCATCCACCATCCGAAAGGGTTATTGGCTTACGACCACTGCATTCATTGCAATGTTGAGGCGGATGTAGAATTATGGTGGACCAAACTTGCATAGCACTTATCTCACACGCACTCTTCCTACGACCATCATATTCCTATGGCAAGGCAGAACCGAAACCGCTGGAAATAGGGGCGAGTGCGATGGCTGACAAGATTGAGGTCGCGTCTACGCTCATGATACACGTGTTTATCGCCGGCATAACAGAAACTCGTCTTCAGTAAAGGGGTCTCAGATGGCAGTGTTCTTATAGAGGAGTCGAGTTCTCTTTTCAATAGACGACCTTCCGAGGCACAACTGTTAGGTCGTCGAATAATTGAAAATCGCGTAAGGCGCATCATGATAAGGAAATGTAGTGCTGGAGCGGCGTAGGGGAGGTAACTACAGAGTCTCCTCTCCCCCTCTCTCTACTTATCTACCTGCCTACCTACATATTTATCTATCTCCGATCACATTACAGTAGCGAGTTCGAGTAAAGCTCAACGGAGGTGATGAGATCGAATGCTGTGACAGACGTGTCTTGAAGCCGCCGTCTAAAACGTTCCAAACATCTGTTTAGGCTTAACTCAACAGCTCACCTTGGGAACTGCCTGAAGACGAAACAAACCATCGCCTCGAAGACTGAGTCCACTGCGACAGCTTGCCTACTGCAGCTATCGAGTGGCGTTGAGACCCCTGACGTTTTGTTCGTGGCCGGTCTTGGGTCGTCAGGCCTAAAATGCCACCTTGATGGAATGGGTTTTGTAGTCGAACTATTGGATATTTTCAAGGGTGACATATGATTGGTTTTAAGTAGGCCTTGGAATCCCGACAGGTACTCTTTGCAAAAAAGGTGTGTGTGATGTAATTTGCTAATCTAGTTTGGTATGGACTCGAACATGTGACCATTTCCGAGATCGGTGCCAGTTCCACCGGTAAAAGAGTCTGGCTGGAACAGAATTCAGTATGCATCTGACTGGCATTGGAAATGAGTAGTACTTTTCGTTATGGGGTGGAACAACATACCGCTTGAAAGCCTGGCCGTCCACAGTTATGTCACTGTAAGATTGCGGCGCCGAAGAGAGGAGAGGGAAACCAATGCTGTGCATTTCCCTGTCACTTTAACATATCCTGCGTGCTTACCATCATTATGCCCAACAGCATTGATGCTTTTCACCCAGCACAACGAATAGACTAAATGCCCTCAAGCTTACGGACGAGCTAACAAACTCCATGACCTCTTGAGAAATTTTTGACACGCGATTTTATTCGGGTAATTGATAGATCTGATTGTGGGATGTCGTCTTTCGTTGAAAGGACGTGCGCCACCTGTGAGTCCGCCATGAGGCCCTTGATCAGTAACTTCGCCTACTCTCATGCTCTGTAGTCTGGACCCATTTTTCTTCCATTGATAAGGAATAAAAAAGGGCAGAATTCAATCGGTGCCTCGCAAGCCTTTTTAACTCCGACCATGTTCTTATTCGAGTAGTTTTCATGAAAGGTGGTTCACCTTAGACCCTTCAGGTGGACTACCGCACTGACACTTGCATCTGACCCCTTTCGTCTGGCTAATCAGCGTCTTCCAGTTCTATCACAACTGCGTGTGTTTTGTGTGGCTGAATGACGGCGCAGAATGCGTCAGCCTTTTAACCCTCAATCTCGCTTGTTCTGTAGAGAATATGTCTACCCTTGCGATCCGAGGCAGGCATAAAGGACTTCCGCAGATACTACCTCCTTCTTGCCACCGCAGAGAGACGCTTCTTCGACGAGACTGTCAAGCACAAGTTGTATTTCCGATGGTGAGTTGAGATGACTTATGTCATCCTCCTTTTTTAACCATCTGGCAAAGTCGTATCTCGAAAAGTCAGGTTGGCAAACACGTGTTTTCGGTAATTCTTCGTCAGGCCAATACAGTTACATGAAGGAATGAAGATGTACAAAATCAACAGTGTTTATAGGTGTGTCAAGGGCTATTAAGTCATTAACACTCATCATCCCCACGCCGCCCGCATGACAAGGTCGGCGGATGTTGGTCCTCAGAGCTAGGGGAGGGGGGTAAGAGAGTGTTTGAGTGATGTTCTTCGATTGAGTACACGGAGTACCCATCACTGTAATCAGGGATTTGGAGCGGCATGTCGTCATCACTTGGGGTTGGCGTTGGCCACGGCAGGGAGAGCGCTTGTGTCAGGGTTTTCTGACGTATCTGACATTTCAGGCTGCGCCGTAGGAGGTCGGGGCACAGTCTGCTAGGCTGCTCTGCCATGGACCTAGAGACACCCCATCAGGCACTTGTCTACATTCGCCTCAGTCCCAAGCAAATTAGCAAATTTGTAAAAGCACCTACAGCTGACCGTCCTCCTTAAACCCATTTCCCCGACCGGTACGCTGACTGAACCGTATTGGTCTTCCGCCCTTAGACGTCTACAAAGTCAAGGTAACATCTTTATTTATTCCCCAGGTTTCCTAGTTCGCGCTGTTATTCCACAATT